GCACACGCACACGGACAACAAGCCGAGTGCAAACCGTAGGGTTGCACCAACACTACGAACGCTACAAACCGCTGGATAAGGTCTACAGCGACTTCATGGTGCTCAGTCAGGAAGGGCTTGACGGGGAGCAGTACACGCTTACCTTCATTGACACCTCCACGCGCTACGTTTGGGCCATCAACACCGACTGCAGGTCACTGGCTTTCGAGTGCTTTAAGGAGCTCTTCAAGCAGAAGGGGATTGAGCACCTGGTGTCCCTGCCCTACGCTCACCAACAGCAAGGCGTAGCCGAACGAACAAACAGAAGCCTCGCCACGCGGATGAGGGCCCTGATGAAGCAGTCGGCCATCCCAACCAAATATTGGCCGTTTGCGATGAACCACGCTGTTCGGCTGCACAACTTGCTGTCCTCGCGAAGCCTCAAGGACAACAACTCTCCTTACCGGGCATGGACGGGCAGAAAAGCAGATACACGTCTGCTTCGGGTGTTCGGCTGCATGGTACAGTACAGACCCCACACTGCGCGAACAGGAAAATTTGCTGACCGGGCACGATGGGGCATCCATCTCGGAATCGAAAAAGAATTCAAGGCGTGGATCGTGCTGGACTACGCGACACACGAGGTGACAAAATCACGTGACTGCATCTTCTACGAGAAGCTGACTCTGCCCCTTTTCAAGGAGCACCAGAAAGCCGACAAACTGCCCGAGAGGCTCTTCGAAGGCCACCGCAAATTCGCCACGTCACACGACGAAGCTGACCTGGCCGAGGATGCAGACGCACCTGATGTCACCCCAATGGACTCCGCTCCAAGCATCCCCCTCACAAGCCAATTCGGGACTCCGATATTCATACCTCTACACCAACCTGATCCTGACGACATAACACGCGAAGCTCATGACTACAACAGCGAAGCGCGCCGATCACCTGAAGCCAAGTTACAACAACCCGACATGTCGCAGAACACCCCCCGCCTCGGCAACGACAGTGACGACGACGTGGTCGAAGTTACCAGCTTCCACGACTACGATCGCCTTCACTACGAAAAGACCAACGAAACCGGTCTTCGGGTTCTCGGCCTCGCCGTTGCAGTTCGCCACACCTCGCCCAAGGAACCCACCACCGTCCGCCAAGCCCTGTCTTGTCCTGACAGTGACAAATGGAGAGCAGCCATGGCCGCCGAAATCGCGTCACTGAAAAAACGCGGTACCTGGAAGCTGGTCCCACGGTCATCGGCAAAGGGGAGGCAGATCCTCAGCGGTAAATGGGTTTTTCATATCAAAACTCTCGCCGATGGCTCGATCGACAAGTACAAGGCGCGCTGGGTGGTGCGGGGATTCGAGCAGACTCACCTGGTGGATTTCACTCTCACCTACGCTCCAGTCGGCCGTCACACCTCGGTGCGCATTCTCATCTGCATCGCCGCCGTCAAGCAGCGACCACTCCGACAAATAGACGTCGGCAGCGCCTTCCTATACGCTCCCGTCGACGCCATCATCTTCGTCGAGCAGCCGCACGCATTCGAAGAAGATGACGGCGCCGTTTGCGTCCTCCAGAAGTCGCTCTACGGAATCAAGCAAGCTCCTCGTCTGTGGCAGCAGTACCTCCATTCCGTCCTCCTTGAGCTCGGCTTCACTCAGCTGCCACACGACCTCGGAATGTATCGGCAGGAATCACGTGGAAAATTCATCCTCCTCGTCGCCTACGTCGACGACCTTCTCTACACCGGCGACGACACGGAGATGTTGGACCAGTTTGAGGCTGACATCAAAGAGAAGTTGGAAGTGACCGTCAACCACAACGTCACTCAGTTCCTCGGCCTCAACATAATTAAATCCGCCTCCTCCATTCACCTCTCCGCCGCCAAATACGCCGAGACCCTCGCGAAGCGATTCGCCATCGCCCCTGTCAACCTCACCACCCCCTATCGCACTCCTCCTCCTAACCACGAGCCCGAGACCACACCACTCTCTCCCAACAACCATCGTCTCTATCAGCAGCAGCTGGGATGTCTCTTGTTCGCCGCCGTCACGTGCCGGCCCGATCTCTCCTACGTCGCAAGCCAGCTCGCACAGTACCTGAAGCGACCTGAAGGGGAGAATCTACTGGATCTACGCCGAGCACTGCAGTACTTCATCTCCACTCCCGACGTCGGTCTCACCTACGAAGCTGATCTCACCGCCACTCTGCAGCTCCATGGCTACGTAGATGCTGATCACGCTGGAGATGTTGACAACAGACGCTCCCGCACAGGATTCATTTTCCAACTCCAACCTGCTGGACTCATCTCTTGGAACTCCCAGAAACAGGAACTCATCGCCCTTTCGTCAGCTGAAGCAGAATTCATCGCAGCCAGCGCAGCTGTTCGCGAAGGACTGTACCTGATGGAGCTCCTGCAAGAGGCGAAGGTGACGATGAACGGGCACTTCACGTTACTCTGCGACAATCAGAGCGCGATAAAAATCGCGAACAAGCCCGGCTTCGTCAACCGCACCAAGCACATCGGCCTTCGCTACTTCTTCGTGAAGGACGAAATCGACAAGGGGAGAGTCAAGCTGACGTACTGCCCGACCGGTGACATGGCAGCCGACTTCCTAACAAAGAAACTGCCACGTCAGCAGTACCAGCACTGCGCCGACCTCTGCGGGATTACCAAGAAATCCCACGTGGCCCACCTTCAGGAATGAAGGGGAGTGTTGGAATAACCGAAAGGTTATATAAGCATTCCTGAAGATGTTTTACTGTACCAGTACCGCAATAGCTCATATAGAGCACGCGGAATGTCTAGGGTCACCCGAAGGTCAACCGTCTGAGAAAGTCAACGGTCGTGACCCTTGACGATCCAGTAACCGCGCGACAGTTAACTGACTGCAACATGGTAACTGTCGAGGATAGCAATAGTCGCGGTTACTGTAGTTATGTAATACAGTTAATAAGGGAATGTACCCCTCAGAGTACATGGCTAGATATTTTGCTATTTAACTCCTTGTACTCCTATCTTTTAATCATCTTGTTCTCTTTCAATTATTATCCAACAAGGTCACTACAGAGACTTCATTGTCTCCACCTAGACTTAACAGATTCTATCCTATCCACTGGATCCTTGGTTGTATCAGCAGGAATGCGAAACTATGAGCTCACCGCTCTTGATGGGAGCTCCCGACGTGACGAAATCGAGCTGCTCGTCGACCTCACGAGTGCGCCAGCCCTAAGCCTTGTAGCGCGGCGACAACGAATGCGGGGAGCTGGAGGGTTCCGCGGAGCGCGCTTATTCTGTTAGCATAATGCGGCTACGAGCGAAGTCACGTAATTGCGGAAAGGAGGGACGGTGGTTAGCGGCACTAGCGGACGGTGTCGCTATTACGTAGTGGGTCTAGGCTGGGCGTGAGTGGTTATGTGTGGCTCGTATCCTCAGTGATTTCTAGGCAATATGTCTAGCTTCCTCACGGCAGTCGAGTGAACTCTGGCTAACGTGAGTAGCTGCAGTTTTGGTTTACAAACTGATTTGGGGTGGATCAAGTTCTAACCTGAACCCCAAGGCCCCCCAACCCTTCCGCCTCGCTTGTTCGTTTCTCCGCAGGGGGGCCTTGCACGAACAAGGTTATCGTGTTTCCAAGTGATAAACTTTCCCTCCCCGCTCCAAGTATCTAGACCGCAGCTTTAAGGAGCTGCACGCGCCAACATCGGTAGTTGCTACGCTTATGTTGGAGCGTCTGTTTGCTTCATTGCGCCTGAGCAAGGGGGAGTCGATTCAGCCGGTTCTTGACAAGATGAGGGAGCTATACGCGAAGCTCCAAATAGCAGGCATCACCTACCCGGAGAAAACAAAGTGTCTACGCATGTTCTCGCTGCTACCCGAGTCTTAGCTGCCGTTCACGAGTGGGCTAAGCCTACCTCAAAACCAGGAATCGTGGACGCTTGAGTGGGTGCGAACCAAGATCTTGGAGGAAGACTTTAGGAGGAGGCAGCTGCGTCACGGTGACGATGGAGATGGTGGCTACGGGTACAAGGCAGCGGATGGCGTAAGGGAAAAGGCTGGGATGAAGGTGAACGCGGGCGTCACAGAAGCAGGCGTGATGATAAGAACCTGAGCAACAAGCGTGGTGAAGAAGAAGATGATGATGACGAGGATGAAGGTGTTGACTACCGCAAGTTCAAGGAAGCGACCCAAGTGGTGGACTCCCGGAAACAAGGATAATGATGGAGCGGAGAACCAACCTCATGGAGTTGGTTATGTAGCAGAGACCGCAAGGGAATGAGGGGAGTGAGAATGCAACTGCCAAGGAGGGAGCAATGCCTCATCCCCTCAACACGTGGATTCTTGACTACGGAGAGGCTCACCACATGACCCCGAGGGCGGTCCTGCTAGACAAGATTGGGAAGACAAGCATCATCGAAATGAACTCGGGATGCGGTCACAAGATGAAAGTGATTTGAGTTGGCAAGGTAGCTTTCAAAGGAGCTGACGGGAAGCCGATGATCTTGGAGGACGTGCTCTTGGTGCTGGAGTTGAAGGGGAACTTGATCTCCTTGAGAAAGATGGGGAAAGCAGGTGTATGCACGGCCACCAATGGAGTTGAAACGTTCAAGGGGAATCGCCGTGATTGAGTGCTGTGGGACTTGCATGAAGACAAGGACCTGCATGACGAATTGTGGCATATTCACGTGGTGCAATGGCGTGGGATAGTACCTGAAAAGAAGAATGGGAGCTGCGGCTGTAAAGGGGAGTGTGTTGTAAGGGCTGCATCAGAAGTGAAGGAGCTGAAAGCTACCGTGCAGAAACTTGTGCAAGAGTTGCACAATGTCAATGATCGACTTGCAACAGCTAGAAAAGTAAATGCAGCAGTGGCTGATGAGAAGAATGGTGTTGAGGCCAAGGGGAGTAATGACAAAGTTGCTGCTATGCACAAGGAACAAGGAGTGCACAAGATGACACTCATGAGCAGCAGAAACTTCACGTCATGATGCAGCCGAGGGTTGAAGTTGCCACGGAGAAGGCAATGATGCCGAACTCTACATGCGTTGTAGCTGATGGGTTTAAGGTGAACGGAGAACCCAAGGTGAAGCTGAGTAAGGAAGTTGAAATTGTGGGGGAGCATAAGAGTGCCTTCCCAAAAACTGGAGTTGGGATCGTCAACAAGGTGGAGCCGGTCAAGGGCGAGCAGTTTGACAAGGGTGATTTGGTCTCTATGCCAATGGTGGAAGCTGTGAAGGGAATTATTGGATCCAATGACGGTGGTTGTGGGTTCGAATAGTCGGCAGGTTGAGGGGGAGTTTGTTGAGTGCAAAATGTGGTTTGCACGTCAATCTACCGCCTATTCGCCGACGGTAAAGGAAGATGAAAGATTTTTTCGTAAGGTAATTTGTGGAGTGTGAGGAGCGCATTTGTGTGCTTAGAGCTTCTAGGTCCCAAATAGAAGTCAACAACATTTGCTATACTCTAAGCATGCTGGACAGACTCGGTGCCATTTGCAACAACTTGTAGGAAGATATAGTGTCTCAAACAGGTGAGCAGGGAAAACCATGCAAGGGTAGGCCTTTGCAAAATGTGGTGCCATTTCGACATCTGATGTTAATTGAAACAATATTTGTATTGATCTTTCATACGTTTACTATATTCCAAGCATGCTTGGCAAATTTGGCTCCATTCGCAGCATCTGGTGGGAAGATATGGTGTCCCAGAAAAGTGAGCAGGGAAAACTATGCAAGGATAGGCCTGTGCGACATAATGTGTCGTTTCGACGTTTGTTTGTTATTCCAAACATTATTTCTCTTAATCATACATACATTTACTATATTCTAAGCATGCTATACAGATTTGGTGTCATTTGCAGTATCTAGTAAGAATATATTGTGTTCCAAACAAATGAGCGAGGAAAACTATACAAGGACAGACATGTGTGACTCGTGGTGTCGGTTTGACATCCTTTTGTTATTCAAAACAAGGTTTTTATTTTTCATCCATATATTTACAAAACTTCACGCATGCTAGACCAATTTGGTGCCATTCGCAGCACCTGGAAGGAACATATGATGTTTCAAACAATTGTGCATGGAAAATTGTGCGTGGACACATCAGTGAGATACGAGGTGCCGATTGACGTCCGTTTGTTAGTCAAAACATGGTTTTTATAGTTCATTTATACATTTATAATAAATCAACGACGCTGGACTGATTTGGTGTCCTTCGCAACACTTGGAAGGAAGATATGGCATTTCAAACAATTGTGCAGAGAAATCTGCACAAGGATAAAGACCGAGCAACATGTTGTGCCTTTTCAACGATGTTTTGGTTTTGTTTTGTTTCGTTTTGTTTTTGTTTTTTTTTTTTTGATTTTTCTCTGTAGTATGTTTCTCTTTTTTATCTACTCGTTGTACTCTTAACATGCAAATAAAATTTGGTGCCATTAAGAGGTTATGGCATGCAGCTTTGCTACTTTGAATAAGCTACCATGGAAAAGCATGCAACGCCATGCCTGAGCGATACATGGTGCCATTTAAACGTGGCAATTGTTTAGCATGAATTCTTTGATTATATAGCCAGTCAACATATGCCAAGCATGAAAGTATGATTTTCTTTTGACAAATATCAAATAATGTAATCCCGCACTTTGACAATATTACATCAACGACTCATATTGATGCTTTATATTTATTATGCCAATTGGTAGATTGAAGTTTTAGAATTCTCTAAGAATAACAATTACTATGAACTAACATGCCTGAACAAAAAATCCAAATTGTGTTGTTAATGTTAAGTCTAAGTACTATGCGGACGCGTTTAAACCTGGACCACGAAAACAAACTTGGCAACACTTAACTTCACTTTGAACCCTCCGAGTGTGGTAGCAAGTCACCTCATAGCCAAGGGCATAAGAAAATAAAGTGAGTAGTTATGCCTTGCTTGAATTGTGGAGTGAGGAATCTGGTCTTTTGCAGGCTTCATAGCCTTTGCAGAGCAGATGATCTTGTGCACTTCTACCCACGCCACAGGATAGTTCTTGTGCACACTTACCCCTTGGTCTACCCACTCCACAGAGAGCGAGCTGCGTTTCGGCAGCACCACGTTATGTTTCTACTCTCGTCAATACGTAGTAGTAGAATTCTGAGCTTGAAAAAGCATAATAGCATTGATTGAGTTCAAGCAAATACAAGCACACATTTATATAAAGTCCTAAACACACAAAGGAAAACATAAAGCAGTTGCTTAACTGGAATCCAGGCCTTCGCTTTGCTGTAATAGAAAACGGTTGTGAAACTGCTGAAGAATTTGGCTCAATCTGCCTCATTAGAATTAACTGTAATCCACTTGAATTGAAACCAAAGTCCCCTGCTGATTCACGTCATGAATTTCCGCGAGTTCACATGAGGAATCATGAATACTCGTGTGAGAAACCGTTTCCCAGTTATAAAACGGATTTTACTGTTGATAAAACGGTATTTACCGTTTTGTACCTGCGTCGAAATGATCACGCTATGCAGCGTGACTTTCGCGCGAAATCGGCTGTGTTCCAGGTCAGCGCGGGATTCGGTTAGTCAACCGAAATCCCGAAGCACCCTCGGTCAAGCAGAAAAGGCCGATCGCTGACGCGATCGTGCTTTGTCCAGAGCGTGACAGGGCATTAAATTGCCCTGTCCTGTTGCGATCGTGCAACTATGCACGGTCGCAACAGTTGCGACACACGCGCGGGCCCTGAGGGGCCACACGCATATGTCAGGACCCCACGCGCGGGTCCTAAATTTCTCGCACTTTTTGACCAGTGCGACATTGGTCAAAGGGGCCGAGTCAAAGACTCGAGCCCAGCACCCCCCGATGCACTTGACACTCGCCACGAGTGCTCATGAAAACTCGTGAGTCTTCATGAGGTTTCATGACGCCCGTGAAATTCATGAACGCTCACGGTTGTTCATGAAAATAAACGAACGAACATGAGTCGCCATGATCCGTCATGACTTCTCATGTGCCCACAACAAAAACACATGAAACAAAATGCAGAAACGAATGCGCATAGAACACACACAAAATGCGGGACTTCATGCAGGCGGCTGGTTGACGTGCAAAAATAGTATTTGCACCCCACAAACTCCCCCTCAAGCAGTTGCCTGCTTGCACCTCCTTGCATGAGCCTAGTTAAGGCTCATACCGCACAGCTTAGCACAGCACCAGTGTGGTTCTTCAGCCAGCCGCTTCGTGAGAAAATCTGCCGGCTGCTGCTGTGTTTTCACATAGAGAGGCTGAATTGATCCCCTCTGCACTTCCTTGCGCAGCCAATGCCATTTGATCTGCATGTGCTTGGTGAGCCCATGCAGTACCGCATTCTTTGACATTGGAGTTGTCACAAAACAGCGGTGTGGCGGTTTTCTGCTCGTGCCCTATCTCCTCCAACAGCTTCCTCAGGCAAATCAGCTCCTTGGTTGCATGATACATTGACATGTACTCAGCTTCAGCAGAGGAACCCGCCGTTTCCACCTGTTTCTTCGACCTCCAGCTCTTGGGCCCTCCACCAATCACACACACATATCCTCCCACAGAGGACATGTCTTCCTTTTCCGACGCCCAAGTTGCATAAGAATACCCTGTGAGAAACATCTCCCTCTCTCCAAGTTGCTCCCCTTTTTCTTTGAGAACCTCAGCTCCCTTCTGCTTATTTTGAGCCACGGCCGAGTATTGAACTCCAACGGTGGGATAGGAGTTCAAATACTTGATGATGCGCTCAGCTGCATCCACCTGCTCCTCGGTGGGATTTTGTACCACCCTAGCCAGCTGCCCCACAGCAAAAGAGACATCCGGCCACATGTGCACGGCTGCATAGAGCAAACTCCCCACCATTGACTGAAAACGAGCCTGCTCCCGCTTATCAACCCCTTCTTTCTCACTAGCCTTGACGAGTTTGAACTCGGATGAAAGTGGTGTAGCGATCTTCCTTCCGACCTCAATCTCATACTTGCTCCCCATATCCTTGATGTACTTCTCCTGGTGCAGCTTCACCCATCCATTGCTGATATCCCTTTTAATGTGCATCCCAAGATAGTAGTTCGCCTCCCCCAAGGTCTTGCACTTGAAGTTTTGCATCAGCTTCTGCTGCACCTTCATCACTTCCTGCTTGCTGCTCCCGAACAAAAGGATGTCGTCCACGTACACTAGGAACATGACGAGGCTCTCCTTTCCCCCCATGAGGAAAAGTCTCTCATCACATGCACTTGCCCTGAAGCCTATCTCCTCTAGAACGGAAGACAGCTTCTGGTACCAGCATCGTGGTGCTTATTTGAGGCCATAAATGGCCTTCTTTAGCTTGCACACACGCCCGGTACCGTCCTCATAACCCGGCGGCTGCGACATGAACACCTCCACATCTATCAGCCCATAGAGGAAGGCTGTGGTGATATCCATCTGAACTATCACCCACCCACACACAGCTGCACCGGCGCGGAGAACATAGATTGTTGGCGTCTTTGCAGTTGCCGCAAACGTTTCCTTGAAGTCTTCCCTTTCCTTTTGCTGGTATCCCCGTGCAACCATCCTGCTCTTGTAAACTGACACGGCTCCTTTGTTGTCAGTTTTGATCCTAGGAATCCAGCCACAGCTTATGGCTTTCTTCCCCTCCGGCAGTGGCACCAGCTCCCAAGTCCCGTTTTCCATTTGGCTGTTGTATTCCGCATCCATTGACGCCACCCACTTGTCCCTATCCGGTCCTTTGAGGGCTTCTTCCATAGTGAGCGGTTGAATCAGTGCGGGTGCCATGAAGCAGTAGACTTCCTCCTCCTCTTCCTCATCGGAGTCACAGCTACTTTGAAGCACGAGCATGCATCGTTTTGCTGCTGCTCTCCCCTTGCTCCTCCGTATTTCCTCAGCTTCAATGCGGCTGCTCGCATCTGCTTCTCGATCATGGGTGAAAGAGCACGAACTGTGGGAGGGGTTTTGATTTGGGTCCTTCTTTGGGGAAGGGTGGGAGGAATCACACGAGTTATGGGGTGAGGTTCCTCAGGTGCAACCACTGGTTCCACGCCCTTGACCACGGGAAGCTCTGCTGCACCCTCCTCCTCGTGTGCCGTTGCAATTTCCTCTCCTACCCACTCCTCCGCATCAAACCCCAACGTTGATTGCTCCAGCTGCTGCATGAGTTTCTCCTTTGGCTGCTTGGACCAGCTCCTGTAGGTGATGTCCTCCATGAATTTGAAATCCCTGCTGTCAAAGACCAACCCCTTGCTAGGCTCCCATAGCAGCCTCCACTTGCTTTCCGTTGCCAACCCCAAG